GCTTTCTTTGACATTAATGTCCTTTCTGCATAGATGCATTTCTTGTAAACATATCTTTTTGTAATAGGAAAATTAGCCTAAATAAGGGAATATTAAACTTTTTGAAATCTGCTTGTTTTTTCCATACTTCACTCTAAATGGAAGTTCTATATGCACCCATCAGAAGAGACAAGTAAGATAACAATGCTAATGTCAGTGTGAATTCAAATTTTCAGGTGAGTTTACATCAGCCATTCCCACACCATGTATGCATTTGCTGCCAAGAAATACTTGCATAATAGGGCTTTCTGGTAGAATTATTTGCAGGAGTTTATGTTTTTAGTCAGAGAGATGTATGCCACACATCCTGCCAGTCAGCAAAGAAAAAAGAATGTGATGTCAACAACACATCACATCTAACTAACACAGATCTTTTAAAGACCATTCACAACCAAATGTGAACTCTGACAAGCATGTGCACATTTTGTGATGAGAAAAGGATATCTTTTGCACAGTAAATTCTTATTTTTGAAGGACTCAGTTCTAGCTTCCTTGATGATTCAAAGTTTGTTGTGACTAAGCTCATTAAAAATACATTTAATTTTTTGCTTAAATTTTGATAGTCACAATTTCAAGAACCATGCATTTTCCCCTGCCTCTTAAGTCAGTTGCTCTGTTGGCCAACACCACCAGCTCTTTTTTTTCTTATTTTCATGCCCAATAACTACAAGCATTAACAAAAATGTTGCAGCTTGATGAGCAATAAAAAAAGAGAATCCAAAAATTAAGAAAAACATGTCTAAGGCAAACACATCTTCCTTTAACATTTATAACGTATCTATCAGGTAGTATTTGTCATAAAAGGCAAGAGACTGACCAAAAAAATTCTCACTGAATTCAAATGACCCCACTAGACTTCCACTGTGATTCCATAAGTCAGTCCTTTCAAGCAGATGTTTCCTTGCCATTGAACATAAAGTTCTTCCAAATATCATGGATATACCTCTCCATTCAAAAAAATACCATTCTTTGGCTTTGAAGGAGATCTTTTGAACAGTAAACTATTGAAAGCAAAAATTTTTAGAATATTTTTGTGTGTTTCCTAGAGTAAAGACTCTTTACATAAAACATTTACTAAATTCTGGAAAGATTACTTCAAAAACAACCCTTCCTGTTGGATGTGTAGATTGCCTGTAGATCTAATTTGTACAAGTGATATAAATGGATGTCTACATTACTATATATACACTTCTATATAAACCTCAAAACACATTAAATTTAACCAGAGATCTTTATAGGAAGCATAAAGGAAATCTTGCTGTGGAGCCTTTGAATCCCTGTTGTTACAAAATGAGTAACAATTGTTAACAAGCACTGCAAATAGAAAAGACCTAAGAAGATTCCAGAGTTTCACACAATGAAATAATTCACTTTACTGCTGCTTAGATTTATTAAATAAGGCAATTTTTCCACAGCCAGCAAATTTAATGACTCCTAGAGAAACCAGGTTTGACAAGTTCTGTAGAGTCTGAGAATAAAGGAATTTGTCACCGACAGAAGTAAGGTAACATTGTCCTGATTTGGAATAAAGAATATCAATGGAAAGAGCAGGCAGAAACACAGAAAGTCAAGTCCTGCAAAGGTGCAACGCTGTCAGAAGTGAGGCAAGCATTTTTATTGTCCCGAGATTTGCCTGACCCTGACACGAAGGGAGTGGACTGGGATGACAGTTTAACCTCCTCTAGGCTTGTCCAGTACTTGGCTCTGCTGCTCTTACAGACAACCTAAATTCTAGTTGCCATCACTTTCAAAATAAGTCTCCTGTGTGCAACACAGACACGCTGAACATATCATTGTCAGAAGAGTTGTAACAATTTATATCAGCTAAATGTTTGCCCTAAGTGCTTTGAGCCACAATGTACTTACAACTGCTCACTCACATAATTGGGAGACAGTAACTGGAGGTTTCTCAAAACTAAAAATACAGTCCCTCTATAATTCTGGAAGGAATGCATATTTACCTTAATATCATTGCATCTAAATTTGCCATCTGATTGCTTTATATTTCTTTGCTTTTCTCATTTCTAAGAGGAACTTTCCTCATACAGGCATACATGCAGAGGTATCAGGAGTCTTCACCATTAGTAGCCATTTTATTCCACTCATTTCTCCATTTTCCTCTGTGTTTCATTTCAGTTACTTGATGCTTTCTGATCAGAGCTCAGAAGTTGAGGTTCTGCTTGTGGCTGAGCAGTAATTCCTTGCAAGCTTGCACAAGATGTCTTTTTAATTTTATTTATTTATTTATTTATTTATTTATTAAAAAGCACATTACAGACAACTGTTCGCTAGCCACACTAACACCCAGAGTAACAGCAGAAGTCATCACCCTCAGGCTCCTTATCAGCTACAAATAAAACTGTCAGGGAAGCAAACTGAAAATGAGTGCTGTAACACTGAGCAATATCTATTGTTCTTTCTCCGTAGCATGTAGCTACCTATGAACGTCAGTCAAAGGAAACAGGTGTCAGTTTAAAAGAATTCATAATAAGTAATAAAAGGTGCCATTCTGGAAAGAAGAAAAATGGCCAAGGGAAACAAAGCAGTATGCAGAAAACAGAAGCAGTGTGCTGTTAGAGGGAAAAAATACACTCACTCGTAAGTCTCTCATTTTATCAAGGATCTTTTCGTTCCACAGTTCTAGCCTCTCTAATTGATAAGAAGTAGAAATGCCATTTTAAGTCCTCAGAATACCTTTTTGTACAATCTATTATGCCAGACTGTCTTCATGTTCAGAGTATTTGTTAACTGGACAAAGGAAATTTCAGACTGAATATAATGTGTACTACTCCAACGGTGAGACCTACTTGATTGTGATAACAGCACTCCAACAGAAGGAAGAACCCAAATTGTATGAGCTATTTAAAATTAGGCTGAACAAAACCCGAGGAATTTACTGTATGCAATAGCAGGAAGGTAGCTTGGAAAATGGTGGTGTAAGATCTGTTACCTGAGTAATTAATATACGTCAGAACATTTTCTCTCTTAAATACCAATCTATTTACAATGTATAGCCTTAGATAAGGTACTGCCATTGGTCAACTAGTGTATTATGATAATTATTTATGAAGCTACAACTGTTAATTTGTAGCTGACTAAGAAAGAAAAACATATGATTTTAGGTTTAAATTAAGATTTTCTCTTAAGAGTGCTATTTATTACTGTTGTTGCCTGACCATAATCTCACTTGCATACAGCTCAAATGGCTGTAATTAAACCTGGACGCAGACACAAATGTAGTGTTCCTATACAGAATTAAAAAACCAGACCCAAATCACAAAAATATTTCATTCCAGATGACACAAAGACATTGTAAGTTGGTTAAGAGAACACTCCTGTCATACAACATACGTATAAAAATCTGCAGCCTTTAAGGCTCTGGGTACTACTGACTCCTCTTAGCTTCAGTGAAGCACGTAATACTAAATGCCTGTTTGAACCAAGCTGCCAAGCATGTTCTCTGTAAGTCATAGAAGCTGTTATTGTCTAAAGAGTGGAATATGATAGACAAAACTAATCTCATGACAGTACTGAAAGCTAAATTCCTCAGAGAATCATCATCCAAATGATGCTCACTAATAAGCTCCACTTTAGGAAAACTCTGGGGCCTACCTAAAAAGGAATATTTTTTTCAATCAGAGCCAGCATATGTTGCTTGTACATTATTTAGTATTAAAGCATGGGCCATATCTATCAACACATAGATATAGTATGTGTAGCAGCTCGGAACAAACACAGTTATCATGCACGTTCAAGATACTTTTTTCACAAACTGTGATGCAGGGTTTTTTTGTCAATCTTTTTACTGCAGTCATGATTATATATCTTTAGCAACAACATTATTTCGGTAGTAGTAATTTCTGTACTTCCAAGAAAAACCACAGAAGCTGAAAAAATAGGACAAACAAGTGAACTGAAATAAACAAAGCATATGGTTATGACTCACTGTAAATTCCTAATTAATCTATGTTGACAAAGGTTGCCAAAGATTATGGTGACTAAATAGTATGGGTGCACAAAACTCATGGCAGTAGACCTGCACAGCAACCTCTAATAAATAATTTAAATTTTCAACTTCTACAAAAATTAAGCCATTTACTAGATCTGAAAGATAATGGAAGCATGCTAAGGTTTGCAGGCAGAACATGCTGTCGCACACAAATAGACTGCTCTGCAGCAATGCTGGAAGATTAATCAATATACAAGATACAAAACTGACTTCATGGGTAACCTTGATTTACTTTACTCAGGAAAGAAAGTTTGAGTTTAATTTTCTCTATGAAGAATGTCTGAACATGACCAGCACAAATGTACTCCCCTGTTACAAGAAAAGATACTTCTGAAATAGCTCCAGCAATTAACATAACAAGGGATGAACTCATGATGTCAATTAGATGGTTCCCAGGAGATTATGGCTTTCTTTTTAAAAGTTTCATGTTGTTAACCAGTTAATGTATGTTGTAAAATCTCCTTCAGATCTAGAGTTTTTGTTTGCATTCTAGCAGCAAGCCTTTGATCTATGCCCTGGGTTGTATCTTTGTTCAAAACCAACATTAGTGTCAATTACTGAGTTCCATGGGGGATGCCGGTAACCTCTAGCGCATCATCATTAGCTCAAGGCTTATCAAAATTAAACATCTGTAAGAGGAGCAGTATTAAAAAACAATAGCCCAAAGATCTCTGCATTAACATTTCCGGTACCTCTAAATGTTGTATGTTTTTTTATGATTAAACTTACTTTTTATTTCCCACTTTCAGCTGTCTCAACTGTTGTCGCTCCCCATAATCTATAACTGACGAAAACATACCAAATGCAGACAAAACATCAATCAACAGCTCTGATGATCAACAGATTGATCTCCATGCAAGCATGACCCAATGTTGTTAGTACCAGCTTCACAACATCACGGCACATCACACAAGAAATGGAACTGAAAAAGGTGTCAAGGCAAATCTGGTACCTGGCTGATGGGTTTTTGCTTTTCCACCAGTGACGGCTGAAATACTAGATCCAGAAGATGAAGCTTCCATTTTTATTGACCTTCTGACTTGTGGGAGTGAAGGATGCCCAACCACGGGCAGACGTTGTGACACTGGGTAGCTTTCTGCAGTTCTCCTCTGGCAGATTTGCACACGCTTTTCAGCCCCATGAATAGATAAACTTATACCTGACAGGAATAAGAATTAGTACTGTTAGATATGAGACACTAGCACAGAATAACTAAAATATAAAAATTATCATGGATTAAAATGGAGCTGTTACAGCCTTCTTGAAGGAAAAAAAAAAGCCATAAAAACATGGATTTTCTATGAAAATTAAAAATGTGAACATCTTTGGTACTGTGCTGCAGACACCAAAGTCATCCACACTAATAGATATTTAAATTAATACACAGTCATGGTTTACTGCACTACTGGTCTGCAGGAGGAATTATCTTCCATTCCTTCAAAAAACCCACACAGTTCACACAAGACGATATTAATGAGGTAACTACCACAGAGTTTATTAAATGACAGTTTTCTGATCAACAGTTTAAAACTTGGTGATAATTATTTTTTCTGAGCATTCGCAAGTGTTAGGAAGTCTCATTGTATGGAAAAGATGCTACATTTCAAGTGGTAACTAGCTTTTAAGGAAAAAATAAAGGCCTGTTTTGAGGAAAAAACTAAGGCTACAAACAATAATAACATGACCTTAAGCTTGAAAAACATTTCCACTTTTACCAGTCCCGTGAAACATTAACTACAACATTGGAAATTGTATTTCACATCAAATATTCTCAAATTTGTCACATAACCAATTTTTAAATAGAATTGGTGATGAAAAAGAGGCTTTACTTTCCCCAAAAGAAAAGCAAAGTTGAAATTTCTTATGTGTCTATTGTACAGTCTTATAAAGAAATACTATCTTACAATAAAAAGTGCTGATTCTGACTTGGTTATGTTAACATTGATGCAATTGCTCCAACTTCATTTGAATTACTCTCGGCATATTCTGGTGAAAACCTTTAAACAATCTCTTTTGGGCAACAAAGCTGAGTGATAATTCTACGCTACTGTTTTATGCTTAATTTAATTGTCACACCTACTGCTTTTCTCAGCAACCACTCTTTGTTTTAAAAAACAAATGAAAAACCCTAACTAGATATAAATGGGGAAACTGAGAAGCAGATGGAAAAGGAGACCCTAAAAGCTATAAATGTAGATATTGTAGGCGCATTGTAACTTGAAGTCACTCATAATCACTAGACATCATTGATAAGATTGCTCATTTTTGTGAAAGGGATCCCTCACTGAAATGTCCAAGAGTGCCTTAAGGACTCTGCTCTTTCAGTTCCCCTGGAAGTCAATGTATGTGAACCTCCAGGTCATGGAAGAGGTTTTGAATCTCTGAAATCTCAATACACTTCAATCCATAATATACTACTGGGGGAAGAGAGCTGTCACTTCTGTAAGCCAATTGTGAAAACAGTGGGGTTGCACATGTGAGGAAAGGCTGTGCAAATTGCTCTCCTCTAAGATGGCTTTGTGCATTCAGAATCAAAGCTGCATGCTTGCTCCCTGACTGTTGCACTTCACCATAGCTGATCTCCTGCAAGAAATGTGAAGGGACAAGGACTCTCCTGCAGCAACTACTTACATACCTCCCAGTTACAGGGGTAATGTAACTGCCAGATGTTTCTAAAGACTGTTGAAATCCCAGTAAATCCCAGTCACCTTACTCAGTTGATTCATCTTGGGAAAGGCAGGGTAGTAATCCACATGAACAGAATGACAATGAGCATGCCTGGACAACACATTTCCTTTACCATGTTAGCCATATAGTTTAGCCATAAGGGGCTTCACACAGTGAGGAGCTAAGCCCCAGCTGTAAAATGAGCTCTCTGCTTCTTGTGCAGTCACTAAAACCTCGTGATGCTCAAAATATCGTGCAATTATCTCTAAGGTTTTAAAAACTTAATGACAACTGTTTCCTTTTAGTATCACCACTGGTTGTCATATCATTTAAAACAACCATGCCTCTGAAGGTTACAATGGAGTCAGTAAGTTATTCTACCAACACTAAACATGAACCCGGCACAGGTACATACTTACTAGATGGATCTCAGTAAGGCTGTGCTTTCATTTGGTCATGAAATGAGTGATCTATTTTAGGAACTGGTTCCAAGCATAAATGGACTGCTACATTTCTCTGAGGTTCAAGTAAATTGCTTCTTTGCATTCCAAAAACAGTCTATAAACTCTTGTGCAGCTGTGACTCAGCTTCCTAAACAATATGTGCAGCACTTTTTTTTTTTTTTTTTTTTTTTCAGACATCAAAATAAAGGATACTGCAGCCAGATTGTTATTCTTAAGAACTACAAATTCTGCAAACTGATCACATCCAAAATTAGGTTCAATCAACAATGTGACTCTGGTTATATGGAACCTTTTGTTTCTTCCACTAAACAGAGGTGCTATAAAATTATAACACCAAACTACATGAGAAAGAATGTGCCAGCATTATTGGAAATTTTACAGATTATTCTTTGGAGATATTAAAAGTGCTCAAAAATTACCATAGTTTATAACAAATTGTATGGTACATATATTGGTGTGTCACCAATATATTCAATATATTTGGGAGTTCTTCACCCCACTCTCCTTGCCACTGCAGTCATTTTCTTTGCATAAGAAGAATAGAGACTTCTGAATAAGAAGTCTTGACTAGGAGAGTGAATTTCCTTTATTTTCATGAGAACCAGATACAAGAAAATGATGCAAGTGTCCTATTTAATTACCATTTCATATTTTCCCAGAGAGAGACCAGATCTTGCTTTTCTATGTACATTTCTTCTGTTAAACTAGAAGTCTGCAAAAATGTAAGGCAGTAATACTGCAGTAAACTGTGGTATTACCTTGTTTTCATGTGGGTGAAAGTCCTTTTAAAAGAGGTATCAGCAGGTAAAAATACATCCCCAGATATCATGCAGAAAAGCAGAGACAAAGGGAGGGGGAAGCAGAAGTATAAAATCCATTGGGAATAGTACATGCAACTTACGGGAGATGAAAACCTGGTGAACTATTGGTACTCAGTAGGCTCTAGAGTAAACTCCCCCTATTCTTCCTAGAAATAACCCACACTGCTGATGAATCCTGGGGTTAGCGGGTCAGAGATGTGAGAAAGCAGCACAGAGATCTCTCAAGACTAGATGTTAAAGTTGACATCAATTACTTTTTGCAGTGTGACAATGCCCACACAAGACATCTAGAAAGAAAAACAAGTGGTCCAGCAGTATACTGCAGATTGGGTCTTCAGTTAACTGTGTTTGGTGGAGTTTTTCTCCTGCCTTCAGGCTTGGCAGTATAGTTGCTGACACAAAAATCCCAGTACCTTTGCATGCCTGGATACATGGCCTCTGGCTGTACCTGTCCCTGCAGCATGGTCATTTTTAAGCGAGCTTGGCAGGCCTCAGTAGCCAGGTACGAGCACACCAGCATGCTCTGACAGGCAGTACAGATGCTACAAAATCCAGAAATTTTCCCTGCCTCCCCCTCTGGCTTAATATAATGGACCCCAAGCACCATTTTGACCCAGAGCTGCAGTGCTAACGCAAGTGAAAGACTTAAATACTGGCCACTAGCCACAGTTGACTTCACTTTGGAGGACTGGCTTCTGGACAGGGCTCAGTCAGCTGTACCTGGCTGGCTGCAAACCAAGAATTTAACAGTGGGAAGTAGTTTAGTGTTTTGAAGCTGAACGAGATTTGAGCCTTCAAGTATTATATGTTCCACTCAGCTATTTTCCCTTCCTCCATGCATCAAAAATCCTTCTCTGTATTTTCAAATCTTCACATGCCTTTCTCTACCTCACTTATATTCCTATCTTTTTTTCTCATACAAGCTTCTTATCTCCATGAGGAGCTGCTCTTCTTGCTGCCCTTTTGTTCTCCTCTGATGCCTCTGAGCTTGCAGGTTCATGTAAGAGAAACACGTTCACTCCTTTCCTACCAACACATCTCAGCTGTGCAGTTTGCCAGGAGGGAAAAGCAGCCTCTATCCTGCTTCTGGCTAACTTTTATTGCTCCCAGCTATGTCCTTTTATAATAAAGTTTTCCAGAGCAGTATGTCTTTTGCATTGAGCATATTTTTCCTCTTATAAAGTGCTAGTATGCTTATGACACCAAAGAATTTATAATGCTCCAGACAAAACCTGCATATGAGAACATTAAAAGAGGAGTATTAAAATACTTCCAAGTCAGGAAGCAATAAAATCAAACATAAAAAAGAGAAAGGAGGGAGAAATTACTAGAAGTAGAAAACATTACAGTGTGCCTGCATGCAAAATCTTATGTGACGGTGGTATTTGTTTTGTTAGCTAGTCAGATGCTACAGTGATGAACGACCAAATCCTGCGCTACTCAGAAGTCACTCTGCCAAGGCATCTGATGGGGCATCCACTTTGGTCACAACATAGCCCTGGCTAGCAGGTGTTGTGCACCATGCACCTCTGCACAGAGCAACACCTGCACCCAGTGGACCTAACCCAGCACAGCTGCACTATTGGAGTGGCTCTGGTACCAGTGGAGACGGCGCTAGTGCAAGAACTGAGCTCACCAAGGTGCTGTATCCAAATTATACTGTGCCGGGACTGAGACACCTCCCCACCTGGGGAGGCACTTCCCTGTAACAACTGTCAGGTTTGGGTCAGCCCCAGTTCTGTTCCACCTTGTGCCACTCTGGAGTACAGGCATATGTTTATACATTCCTTCCTGATTTGTGTGTCTCTAGCCAGAGAGAATATGAACATGAATAAGCAATAATAATGCAATGCAGAGCTATAAAGCTGTATAAACAATCCATTAGCGAACAGTTCTTAATTAGCCTCAAGTGCCCTGAGCCACTTTGTAGACCTTCTCTGGGATAACAAACTGCTGCTGGCAGGTGCCATAAGTCCTTTAGGTTTGGTATCATCAGAGTGTCAGTGTTCATGTTGGAGACAAATTACTCCATCTATTTCTCTCTTTTATATGGGTCTTTTATTCTGTTTCAGCCCTATGTGGAGGCCTTAGTAGCAGATTGAGGTAGACACATTCTTCAAAGCCCTTTGCAGAGAAAAGCAAGTGCAGGGGAGCACAGAGAAAGAAGGGAGAAAGAAAATTTCAGGTGCAGTGTCATGTAGGTCCAC